CCCCCCTCCCATAAAACCAACTCCCAGTTACATTCCTGCATTTAAAAAAATAAAACAACTAAGAAATAACAAAAAAGAAACGACTAAGGGGTCTGCAGTCAAGATGGCAGTTGCGACGGCACAATTAATACCCATCCTGCACATGTATCACACAGGTGTATAAAAAGGGATATAAAAAAATGGTTGCCAGTAAAAAAAAGAGTGGAACATTCGGTGTGCATGCAGTCTCGCCATCCTGACTTTTTTGACTTTCCTACGGTCACCTGTTGTTTACACTGTGTATGTTTTCTTTCATAAAACATCCAGGGAGCACACCTGCCTTTTGCTATCCAGCTTTTATCGGACCAACTGAACAAAATCACCTGAATTTCTTTTGAAATCATACTCAAAAGGGAAAGATCCTAAACCAGGGGTCTTCAAACTTGGCCCTTTTATGATTTGTGGACTTCAACTCCCAGAATTCCTCAGCCAGGTAAAATGGGTCAAAACCCACTTAACAAACGTCTCGCTTACCAACATAAATGTCGAGGACTACTCGTATTTGGGGTTTTCTTTTTTCTTTTACTAAGTGCTTTTGTAAAATTTGACCTTGACTTGGATAATGGTTATCAGATAAAATCGGTACGGCATCCCTCTGTTTAAATAATTAGGATGCTGTATCAGAGCGATCAGCCGGGCTCACCTATTTGGTGGGTTTTTCAGTGGGGTGATCATTAGATGCTCCAAAACCCGAAAGAAGCACTAGGCCGGAGCAAAGAGGTCAAGAAAACCCAACCTCTTGGCTGTTATTGCGATGATCTGGACTAGGGTTTCCTGCCTGAGCAGGGGGTTGGACTAGATGACCTCCAAGGTCCCTTCCAACATTATTATTATTATTATTATTATTATTATTATTATTATTGTTGTTGTTGTTGTTGTTGTTGTTGTTGTTGTTAATTCACCTCTCTATGCAGAGTCAGGAACAGGATCTGCCCTAAGGACCTCACTGTGGCCGGGTGTTGAGATCTTAATTCTCAGAGTCCCTTTTTAAAGCTTGGATATGTTTCTTTCCGGCTATTCTCGTGGACTCCTGCCACTTTCACCTTTTGAGCACGCCTGACCGTGTCCTCGTTTGGCTTTCCCTTCGCCCTGTGGAACTGCAGCCTGAATCTGAAGCGTCTGGGCTGAAAAACCTTGACATACCTGTCAAATGCGTCTGTCTTCGCTTCTTCGCTCCCGTGGCTGTTTTGATCGACCTGGCTCTTTCCGCCTCTCTGCCCAGGGGGTGCACCGGCCCTTCTCTGCCCACAGTCCTGTTCACGGGCTGCAGAGGCGGGCGAGGCCCCCTGGCCACGTGCGCGTGGTAGAAGGCAGGAACCTCGTGGCCCTGCAGCTCTTCCCACTGGAGAAGGCCCACGACGGGCACCTCCTGGAAGAAGTCAAAGTTCCACCGTTGCTTCGCCTGTTCCATGCTGGATCTCATCAGGCTCTGGAACTCCTGCTGCAAGTGTTCGTGGTCCACCGGTCCGAAAAGATTCCTCCTGATGGGGGCCGCTTTTGCCAAACTCAGGTCCATCTTCTCTCCCTGCCGCCCGTCGTTGAAGACCGCCTCAAATACCAAGGACCTGTTGAGAACAAATAGACAAAACAAGGATTGGTTTCTCTGATTCTCAAAGGGGAAAATTAAGGACTGAGGCTCTGTCTCTGACTTATGCCCCTCCTGGCAATAGGGACAATATCTTAAGAGTAGCGCCCCCCCCCAACCTTTGGGGCACCAGGGACCGGTTCCGTGGAGAGAGGTTTTTCCACGGACCGGAGGGTGTGTGGTTTTGTGTGCTGCCTGCAACCCCCAGATGGGGTTTTGCTTGTTTGTGTGGACCGGTTGCTGGCATGCTGTGGACCGGTGCGGTCCACAGAGTGGGGGTTAGAGACCCCTGCCTTAGAGCAGTGTTTTTTTTCAACCTGCTGGCTGGGCGATTTTGGGAGTTGAAGTCCCGTACTTCTCAAAGTTGTCAAAGTTGAGAAATATTTCCTTAGAGGATTCCATTTGATTCCCTTTCTTCCCTTCCTTTCTTCCCGCCCTCCTTTTTTCCCTTTCCTTCCTTCACCTTCTAATATTCCTTTTTTCTTTCCTCCCTCCCTCCCTCTTCTTCCCCTTCCATTTATTTTCTCATCTTCCTTCCTTCTATCCATCCATCCATTCACCCATCCAATCACACTGCCACAGCCATTGTGTCCACATTTTCAGTCACAACCTGAGGATCCCCGGTCCCCCAGCCTTCTTTCTCCTAAGGCTGAACATTCCTGGTGCCTTCATTTCCACCCCCTGGTCATCCAGGCCGTCCTTCCTTTGACTTGGGGCAGACCAACCTGCCTGGCCCTGGTCCCAGAGACAGCGGGTGTTGGGAAACATCTGGAGAGCCCGGGGGGGGGGGCGGTCCCTGCTCAGCACGGAGCCAAATCCAAGCCCACCACAAAGCCCCGTGAAGCCCCCTTCCCTTCCAGGAGAGCCCAGCCCCCCACAGATCTCCCCCCCCCAGTTCCTGTGACTGAGCCCCGATTCCAACCTGGCTCTTGCTGTCCTGATCCACCCTCGCATCTCTACAGCCGAAAACGGGTCTGGTTGAATCCGCTGGGTTGGGCAGTCCAGCCTCCCCCCCCCGGCTTCCCAGTCCAGGCTCCCTCGGGCATCTCCCGGTGGCCTCCCATCCAAGGCCCAAAGGGCTCTCCCGACGCAGGCAAGCCCAGAGGCGCTTCCAGGGGCACCGGGGCCGAGAGGAAGCTCCGCGCGGCCGGGGCTGCCCGGGAGAAGCCGGGAGGACTGGCGCGGCAGTTGCCCCAGCGGGTAAATCCTCTCCTTGGCGGGTCTGGCGGCGGGAAGCTCCGCGCCCTCTGGAAGCCCCGGCGGGGAGGGAAGCGCTGCAGGGCCGCCCCAAGCGCGCAGCTCCGCGCCCGCCCTTCCAGGCAGCCCGCGAAAGCCGCCCTCCCCGCGGGAAGCAGGAGCGCAGCGCCCGGGGTGGGAGGGCGGAGGGGCCGGGGCTTCTGGAGGAAAGCAGCGGGAGGGGGGATCCGGAGGGGGGGGCAAAGGGGGGGCCGGCGAGTCGAGCTCCTTGCCAGTCCCGGGCACCCCTTGCAGGCAGCGGGAGCCACAGGATCAAGGAGGCTGGCTTGGCCAGGGCCTTTTGCAACCTGCCAGTCCTGGTGGTCTCCCATCCCTCTGGGGCAGAGCCGAGTCTCGCAGGGAAGGCCAGGCCTGGGGAGAGCCTCCAGTCTTCAGCGAGGGGGTCTGCCTCTCCCAGACGGTTCCAAGGAGATCCCCCAGAAAACCAACACACACACACACACACACACACACACACACACCCTTTGTGACTTGTATGCCGCCTTCGCCCGAACACGCTACGGTCTTTAATTACCCAAAGCAGCCGTGTCCTTCCTACCTTGTCGACTTTTAAGAATTCAACGCTCAGGATTCCCCAGCCAGCATGGCTGGTTGGAGAAAATCTGGGAGTTGAAGTCCATAAGGTGACCAGGTTGGGCCCCCCTCCAGCATCAATATTTTATATAAATATTTATTGTGATTTTTATTATTGCCTGTTCACCGCCCTGAGTCCCATAAGGGAGATAGGGCGGTATATAAATTTAAATAATAAATAAATAAATAAATAAATAAAGAAAGAAAGAAAGAAAGAAAGAAAGAAAGAAAGTGTGGCATAAGGAGCACGGTGCATCTAGGTGGGCTTGAGGTTTCTGGGGGTTGCCCCCTTAAAACCAGTTAAGCAGCTCCACCGGCCTGACAAGGAGTCACCACAATCAAGGATCTAATGAACGATGACACCACCAGTGCGCAAAACAGTTGTTGTTCTATTTTGGTGCCCAAAAGGCATCAATCAGATCTACAATTGTTGCAGGCGTCCCTTTTGGCTAAAAATCAGGGGTAGGTAACCTTGGCTCTTTTATGACTGGTGGATTTCAACTCCCAGAATTCCTGAGCCAGCTGTGCTGGCTCAGGAATTCTGGGAGTTGAAGTCCACCAGTCATAAAAGAGCCAAGGTTGCCTACCCCTGGGCTCAATGAACAGCGCTGGATCCTTCTCAGATAGTTTCACAGGTCTTTCTTGGCTATAAGTGACGTCAAAGGCCCCAGAATTCGTCAAGGATTAAGTGGGTGCAATATTTAAGCAGGAATTTCTCAACCTCGGCAAGTCTAATGGGCAGACACGCTGGCTAGGGAATTCTGGGAGCTGAAGTCCACACATCTTAAGAGGTGCCCAGGTTGACCTCAGCAGCCTGTGTCACGCTGCATTTCTCTCAGTGTCCAAATCTAATCGTGCAAAAAACAAAAACAAAAACAGCCCAGCATATGCACCTCCTAGTCAACCATATTGTCCCAGAACTAGAAAGTCTCAAATTTCTATTCCAACTTTTTCTGGACAAAATCCACCCAGCTGGACATCTCCTTCCCAGCTATCCACCTGACCACTTCACTCCTCGTGGGCTATTTTGATGAAACTCAAGTTTCTGAGGGACCATGTGCTTCTTCTCACGTGTTCCTAGCCAAGCCGTGAACTAACCTGGCTGGCTGGGTTTAGTGGCCACGCTAGCCCAGGGTTTGGGACCTTGGCATTCAGTGGGTCCAGCAAACAGGTGTGTGTATAGAAGTTAGCATGTTGTGGAAGAAGATGCAGTTTTGCCCTTTTCCGTCTTCTGCCGTTGAGCTTGTGGGTGGTGTTCTACAGCAGGGAAGCCCTGCTGGATCTAGCAAGATGCTGTTCCCCTCCTTTTGTTGCTTTGGGGTTGCCATAACAACAAGCATAGGAGTAATCCTTGAGTAACTGAAACTGCTGCCTGCCACCTTCTCCTGGGCTACAGAAGAAGCTCCCACGAGCAGGTCAATTGCCTGACTCCTAAGAGTGACAAACCTTGAATGAAATCTTTTTCATTCAATGAGGTGGTGCCAGGCACAACTCTGTCACTAGGTCAAAATCTTCCTTCCTTCCTTCCTTTTCCTTCCTTCCTTCCTTCCTTCCTTCCTTCCTTCCTTCCTTCCTTCCTTCCCACTCCCTTCAGGTCAAAATCTTCCTTCCTTCCTTCCCACTCCCTTCAGGTCAAAATCTTCCTTCCTTCCTTCCTTCCTTTTCCTTCCTTCCTTCCTTCCTTCCTTCCTTCCCTCCCACTCCCTTCAGGTCAAAATCTTCCTTCCTTCCTTCCTTCCTTCCTTACTTACTTCTCACTCCCTTCAGGTCAAAATCTTCCTTCCTTCCTTCCTTCCTTCCTTCCTTCCCATTCTCTTCAGGTCAAAATCTTCCTTCCTTCCTTCCTTCCTTTCCTTCTTTCCTTCCTCTTCCTTCCTTCCTTCCTTCTTTTCTTCCTTCCCACTCCAGGTCAAAATCTTTCTTTCTTCCTTCCTTCCTTCCTTCCTTCCTTCCTTCCTTCCTTCCTTCCTTCCTTCCTTCCTTCCCACTCCCTTCAAGTCAAAATCCTTCCTTCCTTCCTTCCTTCCTTCCTTCCTTCCTTCCTTCCTTCCTCCCTCCTTTCATTTCCTTTCCTTCTATCCCGCCTTTATTACTTTTACAAATAACTCAAGACGACAAACGTATCCCTCTTCCTATTTCCCCCACAAACCCTGTGATGTTGGGCCGAGAATGGTTAAACCAAAGTCACCCAACTGACCTTCCTGCTAAGATGGGCCTTGAACTCTCCCTCTCCCACTTTCTAGGCCTGGTGCCTTCACTCCTGGACCAAGCTGGCTTCCTTACATCCCATGCTAACTTTCTTCTGGCCACAGTAAGAATTTGCTGCCCTAATTAAAGGAGTTGTGTGCCTACCTACAGGGGTGGAAGATACCCTTTCCTCGCTCGGAGATCCTGCCTCTGAAGGAGGGCTGTGTCCAGGCAAGGCTGCCCAGCCTAGAACAACACCTTCAGCTCAGTGGTGGGATTCAAATAGGTGAACAACCGGTTCTCTGTGTGGATGCCGCTTCTGGAAGTCAGTTCTGGCCCTGGGCAACCAAAAAATTAGCTACCGGTTCTGCAGAGCTGCTGAATCCCACCCCTGCTTCAACTGCTTCTTCTCCCTTGCGTGGAATCTTATGCTAACCAGGAAGTGGTGGAATCACCTGGAAAGCCCCTGAACAGGTCATCCCAGGCACCGATAGGTCAATCTGGGTTTCCTACCTTGGAAGCACACCTCTTCCCTAGAAAACCCCTATGGGTGAAGCAGCTGCATTGACAGGAAATCCCCAGGTGAGGATAATCCAAGCCTGGAAATCCAGAGAAAAGGAAGTTTACGCAATCGGGTCCATTTTCGTCTCTGGGTTGTTTTATTTGGAAGAGGAGCCGGCCCCTTGTGCACACCTCTCTCTGTGGGAGTTTTAAACCACTGCTCTGAAAGTGGAGTTGGTTTGATCTTTGGATCTAGCCCCAGGAAGGGTCCCACCCTTGAATTGCCCACTTTCCGGGGAGGCTGTGAGAAGCCACAACGACCTCATCTTGATGTCATGATGTGCAGGACTCCATGTGCTGCAGCTGCCAAAAAAGCCAACACAGTGCTAGGCTGCATTAACAGAGGGATAGAGTCAAGATCAGGTGAAGTGTTAATACCACTTTACAAGGCCTTGGTAAGGCCACACTTGGAATACGGCATCCAGTTTTGGTCACCACGATGGAAAAAAGATGTTGAGACTCTAGAAAGAGTACAGAGAAGAGCAACAAAGATGATTAGGGGACTGGAGGCTAAAACATATAAGGAATGGCTGCTGGAATTGGGTGTGTCTAGTTTAATGAAGAGAAGGACGAGGGGGGACATGATAGCAGCCTTCCAATGTCTCAGGGGCTGCCCCAAAGAAGAGGGAGTCAAGCCATTCTCCAAAGCGCCTGAAGGCAGGAGAAGAAGCAACGTGTGGAAACTAATCAAGGAGAGAAGCAACCTAGAACTAAGGAGAAACTTCCTGACAGTTAGAACAATTAACCAGTGGAACAACCTGCCTCCAGAAGCGGTGAATGCTCCAACACTGGAAGTTTTTAAGAAGAGACTGGACAGCCATTTGTCCAAAATGGTATAGGGTTTCCTGCCTGAGCAGGGGGTTGGACTAGAAGACCTCCAAGGTCCCTTCCCTTTATTATTATTATTATTATTATTATTATTATTATTATTATTATTATTGTTGTTGTTGTTGTTGTTGTTGTTGTTTGTTTGTTTGGGCTCCTCCGAAGAGCCTTCTCCAACAGGGGTCCTCCAGGTCTCTTGGCTTTCCACTCCTACAATTCCCAGTTAACTCCACCGCTTGGGAAGCAAGATCCAGATGGCAGGGAACACTCTTCAGGATCACTCAGACATGCTAAGCTGCCCTTCTCAAAGAGGAGACAATGTGGTCTCACCAACTGACCCCAGCCAACCTCAACTGACCTTGAAAAGGCTAAGCAGAGTCAGGCATGGTTAGTCCTTGTGGGAGATGACCGAGGAATCTCGGATTGGGTAAATAGATTGGAATTTTTTTAAAACAACAACAACAACAACACTCAGAGAAAGACAGTGGCAAATTGTTGCTAAGATCAAGATGAGGCTATGGTCTGTGTGAGGTTGAAGGGAAAAGGACTTCCCTTTTCTAAGTTTTAATGAAGAATTTGGGAGAAATAAATTAGAGGAATCTCGGCAGAAAAATATTTAAAAGCAGGTGGAACTCTCTTTGACAATTGACCTTGTTTGTTTTGAGAGATGGCTACTGCATTTATACGTGCACACATTAGTTCGTAGGAATATGTTGAAACTAAGAAGACTCAAAGAGGTTGGAAGGGACCTTGGAGGGGTCTGCTAGCCCAAACCCCCTGCCCAGGTCAGGAGTCCTTAGGTCAACCTGGACAAATGGGTGTCTAATCTTTTCTTGAAAACCTTCAGCAATGGAGCCCCCACCCACTCTGGGAGGGAAGCTGCCGGATCAGCAGCCTGATGGCAGATAAAGAAGCAGGAAGAAGAGCAGAATTGGTGGAAAGCCCAGCAGGGACAAGGTGGCTTCTAGAGAACGTGACCCACAAGGGGAAAGAAAAGTCAACTTGGTGCATCACACATGTAAAAACAGAGCAAGGCTGGACCTGTGGAATCACCACCATTCCAACTTTCACACACACACACACACACACATGACACACCACATCAGATGTCCCTAGTGACAAAGCTGGTCCAGTGAAGGCCAGAAGACCTAATAATAATAATAATAATAATAATAATAATAATAATAATAATAATAATAATATAATGATGATGATGATGATGATGATGATGATGATGATGATGATGATGATGTTGGAAGGGACCTTGGAGGTCATCTAGTCCAACCCCTGCTCAGGCAGGAAACCCTGTACCATTTTGGACAAATGGCTGTCCAGTCTCCTCTTAAAAACTTCCAGTGTTGGAGCATTCATAACTTCTGGAGGCAAGGAGTTCCACTGGTTAATTGATTAGAAGAATCTCTCTCTCTCTCTCTCTCTCTCTCTCTCTCACACACACACACACACACACACTGTCCCCAGAGGCCACCCGGGGCCCCTAGACCCGCCTTGCGACCCACCCGGCGCTGCCAGCCGTCGGGAGACCCCTGCCCGCCCTTCCCTCCAGCCGCAGGACCCCGCGAGAGGGGGCCGGGGTCTTACCTCCGACCCACAGTCACCGCCGCGGCCGTCCGGAGCGACGGGACCGG